AATCTTTCTCTTCCTTTTCACATTTCGAAATTTAACTTCATTCCAAATAAAATTCGCCCATTTTTGATGATTTATTTTTAAGATTTGCATTTTTAAATAATATATTTTTAAAATTTTTTTTGAAAAGGTGTGGTTTAAACACTTTGCTAAAATTATTTAAAAGTAGAAACGAAATGACTTTTTTCCGCTCATACACAATATAAAAAGGGAGAAACGAGGTGCCTTTTTTTTCCACTCCGGCATAATGGAAGGAAAAGGAAAATTGGTTGCCATATATTAAGAAGTTCGCCAAGTGCATTATTCTTGGCCCAAACTGAAAAAATTTCGCCAAGATAAATGTTTGAATTCCTCCGTAAATTTTGCACCAAATTTTACAAAATTTAATATGTGGGCATAGTTTAAATCGTAGAATCGAAATATGGAAAAAAAAATTTATATGTTATTTTTGTAAAAGTCCGATTTTGTGTCAAAGTACCTATGTGTTGAATAAGGCTATATATATCTAATATATATCCTAATTCGCGCTTTCGAGAGATGAAAAACTCAATTTGAATTCAGTCAATCGGCCCAGTAGAACTGTCTCATTTTTTTTCGCAGCGTACCTATTAAATGGCCAAAAAGGGGTATCAGAAAATACACATAACAGCAAGGACAAACTAGTAGAGTACACTGGCTAGTGAAATCCGCTCTGACTAATTTTCTCTTTTCGACCGTTTAAATACTCTTCTTCTCTTTAACTTAAATTTGCATCCTGGCGAGGAAGTGCGAGGGGAAAATGAGAGGTTCAGGAAAGGTACCAAAACTTAAAATAGTTTGTTATGCAAAATATGGGAAACCCTATTAGTCCAGGTACCATTGTATTTATGGCCAGAACTTCCGATAACATTAATAATATTGTTCTTTAGTTTTATAAAGTTCCTCACTACTTCGTCTCTGTTTAACGTAGAGGAACTAACTGAACTATGGAGCGACTTATCGCTGAGTTCAAATAGGTAACGGCAAAGCCCATAGAAGGGTTAAAATATCCTTTGTTCACTCAAAGAAATAATTTACTTCGCGTTCACACAGGGAAACCTTCAGATCAAGATACGAAAAATAAGAAACTAAACTAACGCTAACTGAACTGACTTAGCTGAATCTAGACAGAAATACAGTGGATGGACAAAAATATGGAAACACCTTGTGAAATGCATGTTTGAAAAGAACGATTGATTTTAATGAAATATGTAGGTGGCGCTGGCGTTTTTGACTACTGACGCCACCTATACAACTTCATAAAAATGCTAAACAGTTCAGTTGTTGTCGGAGTACTGTTATGTGAGGTTGTCATGCATTATGTCAGAGTTAACAGACTTCGAACGTGGGCAAATTGTGGAGCCGTATGGTAGGTGCTTCCATAAGCAAGGTAGCCGAGGTGTTTAGTGTTTCAAGAGGTACTGTATCGAAGATTTATTCCGCATATTTGAAAAGCGGAAAACATCATCTGCTAAATCACAGCACGGACGAAAGTATGTCCCGAGTGATCGTGACAGACGATCATTAAGAGCAATTGTGACGAAAAATAAGAAGACCACAGCTGCAAAAGTTACTGCTGAAATGAATGTTGCGTTACCGAACCCTGCGACTACCAAAACAATTAGAAGGGAGCTTCATAAACAGGGAATTGCTGGCCGTGCTGCGATGGAGAAGCCACTCATCAGTGATGCTAATCTCGTAACAGGAAAAGGTGGTGTTTAAGTCATAAAGGCCTGGACTATAGAGCAGTGGAAGCGAGTAATATGGTCTGACGAGTCTTCTTTCACATTGTTTCCCACTTCTGGCCGAGTTTACGTCTGGAGAACGCCATCTCAAGCCTATAATACAGACTGCTTGTTTCCAAGAGTGAAACATGGCGGGTGTTCTGTTATGGTTTGGGCAGCCATATCGTGGTTCTCTCCTAGCCCCATGATAACTGTGTCAGGGCACATGATTGCCAAGACTTATGTGAACATTTTGGCCGATCAAGTTCATCCCATGGTACAAACTTTGTTCCCCGATGGTGATGGTGTCTTCCAAGACGACAAAGCCCCTGTTCACACAGCTCACATTGTTCAGGACTGGTTTTCTGAGCACGAAGATGAGTTGTCCCATCTCCCCCGGCCACCACAGTCACCAGACCTGAATATTATCGAACCTCTGTGGTCTACATTGGAACGGAAAGTGCGTTCTCGTTATCCACCGCCAACATCGTTATCTGAACTTGCCACCGTTTTGCAGGAAGAATGGTGTAATATTCCCTTGGCAAACATACAGGAACTGTATTTATCCATTCCGAGAAGACTGCAAGCTGTTTTGGATGCCAACGGGTTTCCTACACCATATTAAGCAAAGAAACATGTTTTTTAAAGGTGTTTCCATATTTTTGTCCAACCCCTGTATCTAACGTAGTTGGCCCTTAATTTAGCCTAGCCAGCGTTTATCAACAGGCACGTACAATATGGCTGAGAGAAGTAGATTTAAGAACGAAGTAGCCTGAGGGCAAACACGCGCCACTAAGGACTTCTAAACTTTCTCTCTTGAAATACACTGAACGTTCCTTAAATACTCCTTCTAACTCATTTGCATACAACGCGTTACTAAAACCTCATTATGGTAGGGAATAGTAGATGAGAAACGAGAATAGATAATAAAGCATGTTTAAATTTAAAATAACTGTTAGAAACTTAAAGTAACCTCTACAGTTTAACCTCTTCGTTGTCCGTAACGCGTCTAGCGCGTTCATGTGAAACTTCCGCAGGGCGGCCGTAACGCGCCTCAAGCGTTCTTCTATATTTTAAAACTTTTAAACGTTTAAAACGCTTTCTAAATGTTTACTTGTTTGAGGTTTTATTTTTGTTTGTCCTAAATTTGTAGTAACCAATAACAAGCTTAGTTACTACAAATCACAAGCATCTAGTCACTCAGCCTGAAACACCCAGTTGCAATTCCCATTCTTTTAAATGGTAAATAAATTTGATACTTTTGGAATCGAGTGTACTAGAAATCAGGGACAACGAATCAGTACATGCATTTTTGTTAAAGTGTTGAATCAAATATAAGGGCGATTTAAAACCTTTACCTGCATGGATATTTCTTCACGCCTGTGCGTGAAGTCGCCTGGCTTATTACTATGATCTTATTTTTGCATGATAGCTAAAAGAGAAACGTACTACAAATGCACTAAATAAGTTAATAAATGCCCCCCCCAAAAAAACAAATTTTAAGTTTAAAATTACAAAAATAAATAACAATTGTTTTGAAAATTTAACCATGGTTTTATGTGATTGGCTGCTTGTGAAAGCCATTTTGTTACACAGGACACCAGGTTTTATACAGTATCTCACAAAAGTGATGGGACACTTGTGCTTTACAAAAGGAAACTGTAATAAAATAAATAAAAAACATATAAAAATTTTTTGTGGGTGTGTTTCATACTTAAATTTAGTAACAATTATTACATAGCATACATTTTCTCAAAATATTAAAATAATAATTTAATAAAAATACAATTGTTTAGAACGGAGCAAAAAATGGCTCACATAAATGATGGGACACCATTAGATACTACTACGTACTACAATAAAAATATTTTTGGGGGTTTTTATTTTTACTCAAAAGCAATTGGCAATAATTTATAAAATTGTCCGCAGTCTTTCTCTCTCGTTTGTTTTGGAATTTTAGTGTATTTTAGCTCTGTGCAGCCATGAAAGCTAAACGAAAAGAAACTTTGCCTGAAATTCGAAAATTAGTTATTAATTTGCATATTGAACGTGGAAAATCTATTAGAGAAACTCCTGAAACAGTTAACTTGAGTCATTCAACAGTTTACAATATCATTAAACGATATAAAAAGAATCATATGATTCAGGATAAAAGAAGTCCTGGCGGACCATCAAAGCTATCCAATGGAATAAAGCAAATTATCGTTCGAAATATTAAAAAAAATCCAAGAATGAGTGCTTATGAAGTTGCTGCCTGATTTACAAGCATTATATGGAGTAATTGTTAAACCTGAGACTATTAGAAGAGTGATTCGATCTGCTGGATATCACGGTAGAGCAGCCAGGAAAATATTCTTCGTGAGTGAAAAGAATAGATAACTCAGACTGGCTTTCGCAAAATCCAACATAAATAAGAATTCTGATTACTGGAGTGACGTTATATTTGCTGATGAGAGTAAATTTAATATATTTGGTTCTGACGGTAGAATCTTGGTGTGTAGAAAACCCAGGGAAGAATTTCGAAAACAGAACTTGGTTCCAACAGTAAAACATGTGGAGGAGGAGTTATGGTATGGGTGTATGTCGTCCGCTGGAGTTTGTACTCTTGTTTTTATTGACAGTATAGTAGATCAGTACAAGTATATTGACATTTCAAATCAAAATTTGAAATTTCAGCGCGAAAATTGAACCTTCATAACGATTTTAAATTCTACCAGGACAATGACCCCACGCGCACTGCTTTGAACATTAGACTCTGGCTGCTGTATAACTGTTCTGAAATAATAAAGACACCACCACAATCTTCAGACTTAAATCCCATACAGACTTAAATCCCATACAGAATATTTGGCAAGAATTGGATTCAAGAATTCGCAAACACACCATTTCTTCAAAACAACAATTAAAATTGATGCTTCAAGAAGAATGGGGTAAAATCACTACAGAAATCACAAAAAAATTAGTCGAATCCATCCCAAGAAGATTAAATCATGTTTTAAAAGTAAAAAGAAATCCAACAAAATATTAAAACCTTAAAAAGTAAAATTTTGGATAAATATTTGATGGAAAAGTAAATGTCCCATCACTTATGTGAGCCATTTTTTGCTCCGTTCTAAACAATTGTATTTTTTTAAATTAATATTTTAATATTTTGAGAAAATGTATGTTCTGTAATAATTGTTACTAAATTTAAGTATGAAACACACCCACAAAAAATTTTTACATGTTTTTTAATTTATTTTACTACAGTTTCCTTTTGTAAAGCACAAGTGTCCCATCACTTTTGTGAGACACTGTACTAACTGCTGCTTCGATTTTCTCCTTTAGGATAACTTATTGAAGCTGGCAGATTTCGGCAGCTGTAGAGGAATCAATACAAAAAGGCCTTACACAGAGTACATTTCCACGCGCTGGTAAGTCTTCTTTAAAGTTGTTTAATGGTTCTCTTTACACACTATGAAACAATCCTTCATCATTCGCTTCAGCTCTTCCGATCTGATTAGATTTCTAAGCAGCATCACCGCCATTGTTCAAATATAAATGACAGTAAATTCTAGAGCAGAGTTTGGATATGAGGCATGCAAATATTTATTTTTTAATTATTCAGAAACTAACTTTAGGAAAAATATTGCATCAAAATTATAAATAAAAATAATTGAAGGGTTCGGTTAAATCATCCCATATGACGTATTATCAATAAGATTCGAATGTGTGTTTGACAGCCGTGAAATGTAGGATAGCCTTGGAAACATCCGAAAATTTTCTAAACAGTCACTTTGTTTAAAGTGAACAAAATATGTATAGGATGGAACATAATTAATATTACACATTAAATTATAAATAACATTTTCTTTTTTAACATTATTTATTTTTTGCTGTTTTTAACGTTAAATACAGCTTATGGAAATATATTTGCATTATGATATTTATATAATATCTAACAAATGGGAACCGTTGTTAACCATGACCCCAGTCGGAAGATTTTCTATTATCCATGTTAGAATTTCTTGTTTTAATCTTGAATGGCTGTCGAATATTAGCTTTAAGAAGTTGTTTGCCTCTTGACTTATGAGCATGTACCTTTGCTTTTAAATAACCCCCAGAGAATTCATCCATGTGATTTACTAAATTCATTGTGATAATAAACTGTTGAAAATGTACAAACTGGGCATTTTGAAGGGAACATAGCGACTTGTATAGGCCTTCATATGGAGACCTAGACATTTTAGGAATAGTTTCAAAGTGCAGATTTCGATAAAGACCAGCGTTTCCAAAGCTAATTATCTCACGGATGACCAATATTTTACTTCAACTTCTATAGTATTCTCCCAGGACTCCAGGTTATCTGGAGTGTCCAACGGGTTATTTTAAGTTTTCCGATAGTTAGACTTCTACAGGAGAATAGATTGTCCATGAGAAATGAAACAGTATTACTCCATTAATTGAAAAATGCAGACGAGCACATTTACAATTATTACATTACATACCAGGCTAGTAGCAGAGCGCAGACTTTCCGCCAGACGTGAATGACTGGCGAGTCTAATACAGGAAAGAACTGAAAAAACTGGACTGGACAAAAAAAATGTTTCCTTTAGGGATGTAAGTACAACCTTGTTGTACTACTGCACTGTATAAGGATGCCCGAGATGTAAACAGTATGGAGAGACAAGCATGTGAAAGAGGATTCACACGATGAAATCTAGTCGCCATTATTGTCCTAATCATAAGGCGTAAAACTCCTATGAAACATGGTTTAAGCCGTAGTTAATCAGGAATCTGCCCGATGTGCGGCTGACTCAGCAAAATTATCAAGCGAATGTCAGTTCATGTTTCTTTCGCTGGGACTAGTAGAATCTTATACCAGGTTAGCATAAAGCTGAGTAGTGAGAACATTAAGTCGAAATCCTCATGCCAGTTTCTGTGATAGAGCAAGATGTAGTAACCTGAATATATTATTATGAGGGTACACTTTTAGCTTTTAAGAAACTATTTATTTACAATCTTAGAATGTATAATCACAGAGAACTGCAATACCAGCATAGTTCTATATTTATATCTGTATCCAAAGTGTTTCCAATTACAAGTTACTAAATATTAAATGTTACCATTTACAAATTATTAAATATTACATCTTCCGTTTTTTTTTTAAAGTTCAAAAGTTTTAACAGTCTAAAATCAGTCCAAATACCTGGCGGGCTTTCTAATCACTCTCCCACTTGTAGTTCTTAGCTCACCGTTCCTTGTTTCTGAGTTAGCAGAGTAGGGTAGTTGATCTTCTAAACATTGCCCTTGAGAATATCTGGAATCATATCCTTTTACATCTGTTTTCTGTGTATTAACTCCTTGTTCTGTTCCTCTGATATTCTCTTCAACAGCTGAACTGTTTTCTCTAATATCCTTTCAATTTCTTCTCAATACTGATCCACCTGATCTAAGTATATATGATCTACGCAGCTTATGCACTTCTTCTACAACTGCTGGTTTCCAGCGATTATCTTGATATACCCGAGCACAATCTCCTTTATTTAGCGATGGTAATGTTTTTGTATGACGATCATAATATGACTTCTGTTTAGTTCTTTCTTGGTTGATTTTTTCTTTTACATTTTTCACAACTTGAGGTTTAAGTAATTCTTCAGATGTAGGAAGAATCGTTCTTGTTCTTCTAAAGAAGAATCGTTCTTGTTCTTGTTCTCATACGTCGTTGAGCTGGTGATCCTAGCATCTCATTAGTTGGAGTGTTCCTATGAGCTAGCAATGCTAAATAAGGATCAGCATGATCTGCTTGAGCTTTCTTTAACAATTTCTTCGCCGTTTGTACTGAACGCTCTGCTAATCCGTTCGACTGTGGATGGTATCGACTGCTTGTTATATGCTTAAATTGGTATTTCTTTGCAAATTCTGCAAATTCTTTACTTGCAAAATGAGGTTCATTATCAGATATAACTATCAATGGTATACCGTATCTTGCAAAATGAGATTTCATGTAACTGATCACTGTCTGACTTCAAGTATCCGGTAGTTTGGAGATTTCAAAAAAGTTGGAATAGTAATCTACAATTAATAAATATGCATCTTTGTTAATCTCATATAAATCTGTCACAACTTTATATCAAGGTAAACTGGGAATTCCAGATTATAGCTCTGGTTCTCGAAAGAGAGCGTGGGTTCGAACCCCACTCCTGACACCATATATTATTATGAAGGTACACTTTTAGCTTTTAGAAACTATTTATTTACAATCTTAGAATGTATAATCACAGAGAACTGCAATACCAGCATAGTTCTATATTCATATCTGTATCCAAAGTGTTGCCAATTACAAGTTACTAAACATTAAATGTTACCATTTACAAATTATTAAATATTACAAGCCTAAAGCTGAGTATTAAGAACATTGAGTCGAAATCCTCATGCCAATTTCTGGGACAGAGCAAGATGTAGTTGTAAGGATCTTAAGTTTTACTAACGTTTATTTTATTTTAAATCTTTACTATCACTTCTTATTTTCTACTTCCGGCCAGAATTATAAGCGTTAAGGTTTTTATGCAAAGTTTGTCTGGCGAACGCCAAATATTTAAGTTGTGGCTTTTTGCCAAGCGAGAGAGAGGAAGCAGTGAGTCGAAGCAGGCCGCTTACCTTAGAAGTTACGCAGTTGCTGGTTGCCTTCCAGGCCAGAGGTTTTAATCCTCTTGATAAATTTTAAACGTATTGTAGTGTTCACAGTTCTCTGTACTACATACGCTTCCTGTTAATATAAGGCCAATCTTCCACGTTTATTATTCTAAAGTTAAATTAGAGTTTAGTTGTATTTTTATACTTTTACGTTTTGACCCCAAGTAGCGGGTCTGTGTATTCCGAAGTACGGAAGTCATTGTAAATAGAGAAAAATAAAGGGTTTTGTATACCCTTCTTGTGTATCCTGTTTACTTCCCACAGTTTTGAATATAGCTTTAGTAAGCTCTCTGTTCCGAGTCAGGTCCTTGCATGTTCCCGAAGAAGGTTAGAAGGAACATTGAACCTGATATAGTAACCTGGCAATGAAGTTCAACTTATGCCACTTATGCTTTGCAATGTTCTTGTGTGAACAGTCCGTAAGACACCAGGGTTGTACCATAATAGTGAGAATCAAGTTCTAACAAACTGCTGCATTAAATCAAGATGGTAAACACATTTGCATTTCAAGGTGCATTATGAAAATATTGTTACAAATTTTGTATTTATTTAGCTGTTTTTAGTAGAATTAATTCAAATTGTTTTAGAACCCTGTGCAATGCAGCACGAGACTTATTTGAAGAGAAAGTTAAAATACAAGAGCACGCGCATTTAATAAATAGATATATCTCGTAATTGCTTTTGCTTTCCAGAAAACTCGATAAATAAAACTCTAAATTCTGATTGTAGATTCTCATAAAAGCCACTGGGTCTCGACCAACGAGAAGAACAATAATTATTCGATACGATAATCCGCAGTTCTGATGGGCTATCATTTCTTCTGCAATCGAATTCTTGACATGATGGTACGAGTTCTTTCTACTTATAAGCATACTATGACCGCCATCGTAGAAAACAATGAATAAACGCAATTTTCGAATAAGAAATCGGCAATTCAGTTTTCCATTGTATAATAATTTCGAAGAAGGCATTTTGATTCACATGATTTGCTCTATGCATAAGGTAAACACAAAGTAAATTTCAGGTTTATTAGATACTTATATTTTTCTTTTGCATTTGCATCGCTGGTAAGTTATAAAGAATTTTCCTATAAAACCATGTCAGTCTAAGCCTGAATTATACTGAATTTTAAACTTGTATTCGTTTTGCGAAATGGAAATTAAAATTTCAGTTATCAGAATATCTAATGCACAAACGTTTAAAATATTTAATGCATTTTACTTATAAACCTTGTAAGGATCTTAATTTTATCAGGTTCAATGTTCCGTCTAACCTTCTTCGGGAACAGCAAGGACCTGACTCGGAACAGAGAGCTTACTAAAGCTATGTTCAAAACTGTGGGAAGTAGACAGGATACACAAGAAGGGTATACAAAACCCTTTATTTTTCTCTATTTACAATAACTTCCGTACTTCGGAATACACAGACCCACTACTTGGGGTCTAACGTAAAAATATAAAAAATAGAACTAAACTCTAATTCAACTTTAAAATAATAAACGTGGAAGATTGGCCTTATATTAACAGGAAGCCGTATGTAGTACAGAGAACTGAGAACACTACAATACGTTTAAAGTTATCAAAAGGATTAAACCTCTGGCCTGAAAGGCAACCAGCAACTGAGTAAACTTCTAAGGTAAGCGGCCTGCTTCGACTAACTGCTTCCTCTCTCTCGCTTGGCAAAAAGCCACAACTTAAGTACTTGGCGTTCGCCAGACAAATTTTGCATAAATACTTTAATGCTTATAATTCTGGCCGGAAGTAGAAAATAAGAAGTGATAGTAAAGATTTAAAATAAAATAAACGTTAGTAAAACTTAAGATGCTTACAAGTTTTACTAACGTTTATTTTATTTTAAAACTGTACTATCACTTCTTATTTTCTACTTCCGGCCAGAATTAAATGCTTGTTTATGCAAATTGTCTTGCTAACGCCCAAGTATTTAAGTTGTGGGTTTTTGCCAAGAGTTAGGGGAGAGAGAAGGAAGCCGGTTGCCACAGCAGTTTTACGGGTTTTCACTCGGTTGCTGATTGCCTTTAAGGCCAGAGGTTTAGCCCTCTTGATATTTGAAAACGTATTGAAGTTTCAGCAGCTCGGCGTACTACATACGTACCCTTTTTAAATAAAGGTAGTCTTAGTGCTAAGCATTTGTATACTAATTCAAAGTTAGCTTTTAGTTAGAGTTTTAGTTAGTAGTTTTATATTCTTACGTTCAGACCGCAAGTGGTTGGTCTCTGTATCTCGAAGTTCGGGAGTACTTGTAAAAGTATAGAAAATAAAGGGTTTCGTATACCCTTCCTTCTTGTGTCGTCTGTTACACACAAATCTTGAACCTAGCTTGAGTAAGCTCCCTGTTCCTAATCAGGACACATCATGTTTCCAAAGCAAATCAAGAGAAACACAAGTCCTGACAACCTGAAACATTCAATCATTCAGTTTTAAATATTCTGGTACTCAATATATTTTCCAATCAGAGCTTTTCACTAGTAAATGTCAATTTGATAAATGTTTCTTGCCTCAATACAGGGTTTGTCTAAACGAAGTAGACAACTGAAATGCATATAAGTCAAAAATTGCATATTTTTATCACGAAGTGTTTAATGCCATTTAATATAGGAAGTTTTTTAAGTTTTCTTCCCCCTCCTTTTGATCATTTTCGTGACGTCAGCATTACGTGAGCACTCTTGGTGTCAATCGAGCAACATGATCACTAATCAGCTTCATATGGGCTTGGATACGTAACAACAAGTTTTATTGCGTTTGCTGTTATCTTTAAAACATGATACGAATGAAATTCTACCTCAGCGTGTTGTTTGGCCGTTCAACAGACCAAAGAATAGCTGTTGCACCAAGAAGGTCGGATTTAACATGATGTGATTATTTCTTATGAGGTTATATCAAAGACCTAGCTTTTGTTCCTTCCTTTCCTACAAGTTGGAGAGATCTTGCTAATGCATCACAGCAGCCGATGCGACTGTTGGCTTGGTTACGTTGAGATGCGTTTGGGAAGAACTTGACTATCACGGTGTGATGTCTGCTGTGTTATGAAATACTAGCAGACATATCATCTATAACTTAACCATGTAAACTTAAAGATATATTCTTCTAAACGTGTAAGTATTTGTCATATTATTAAAATTCTGCATGTTACTTACTTTGCTCTAACTATCAACTCCTAGAACCACAAAGACAGCAAGACGACTTATCCTTCCGTCATAACTTCTCAGCAGAGTAACACCAACTCAGATGAAGTTTTAAATAAATCTTTTTAGCTTGACGATTATTTAAAACTGATAACAGTAAAAGAAAATCAAATCTCCACAGCTCTCAGGAAATTCAAAGCATCCGTTCAAGTCAAATTAAAATATTAAACAAGAAATAATATGCGCCTAAATAAGCTTTGGTTCAGTAATTTCACGAAGAAATTTCGGCTAGAAAAGTTAAAGCGGACTAAGGAATTCAAATTAGCAGCAGAAAGTTCTTGCAAAGTAGCTGGCCAGCGACAGCTGCCCAAAGCTCTCTTTAATTTTCGAACTCAACATTTACGAATTTGCAGTCTAGCGGAGCTGACAAAAGTAGAAATGAAAGCATTTTATGTGTTATAAAATAATACCACATAAAATCCTACAATTATTATTTCTTTAAAAATTGAAATTATCTACTTCTTTCAGGCTAAGCCTGTATAAGGAAAATTAGCACATTCTCATGAATGTTAATGGTAAGTAACGGATTCTCTATTAAAGATTGTTCTCCATTTTTCAATACAGGAAAAGTTTCAATATGATAAGCATTTGTATGTATTTGGAACAGAAGTTTTAATCTCATCCAAACTTTCCTTCTTCTATACCTCATACTCTGCATTAATTCCCCTGTTAACTATCCTTTTACTTTACAGGTACCGACCACCGGAATGTCTACTTACTAGTGGCTACTATAGTTACAAAATGGACATGTGGGCCGCGGGCTGTGTTTTCTTTGAAGCACTAACGTATGAATCTGCCCATTTTACATTTTTTTCTTCAAAACGCCATAAAATATTACAGTAAACAGTTACAATAACTAATTATTGCAGGAAATGATTACTGTTACTGCAATTTTTTCCTTTTTAACTCATAATATAACAGACAAAATGATAGAAGATAATTTTTAAATGAAAAGATTTTAGAGGAATTTTCACTTCAGATCTAAAGCCCAAAAGAAGGAAAGAATTCGTAAACGAAATTATCAATTTAGATGGTTCTACAGGACACGGAACCCATTGTGTTTGTTACTGTAACCATCAGAATTATATTTTTGATGAATACTTTGACTCCCGATGACTACATGAAATTAAAAACCATTCCTGAAAATATCGTAAATTACCTCAAAATATCAGGGAAAAAAGTAATGTGTAATGATAATTTTTTGCAAACTCCTAAGCCGTCAACTGCGTTTTTTCAGCACGAATTACATAACCGAAAGAAATAAAAATCGGTCTTCTCTAGAACTTAATAATTTTTAACTTAATTATTAAATTAAGTTAATTATTAAATTATTTTACTCGAATCGGAATGATTACAACGAAAAATTTAAATAAAGTATTTGGTTTTATCTCAAAAGATAAACCAGAAAAATTCGCGGTTGAATTTACTTATCCACTTAAAATTCAAAAAGTAGCACTCAACGTCCTCACCATGTTTGTTTCTTGATACAATTGTAGAGTCTACTTGTTTAACTTCTAAGTGAGAATCATACGTGCAGTAAGTTCTGATAGGAACTGCACAGAATAAGGGTTAAAAGTACCCTTTATTAACTCTTTCAAATTTACAATGCGTTTACTCGACGTTAACATACTGCGCCTCTCTTGGGCGGTAACTGAAATCACAGAACCAAACTAAAAATTCGAAGATACGCAGAAGTAGTAGAGCTAAGCTACGGGGCTTAGATAATTCTTGTTTCTTAAACCCGCGTCGAAACGAGTGGCACCAAGTAAATTCAGTTATGTAAAGTAAACAAGCAGAAGCTTACGCAACAGAGGTGACGGCAATAGACTAACTCTCTCTAACTTTCCTACTGAACATCGGTTTTTAAACTCTTTCGTCGTAAGGTAGAATTTACATTCCTTCACCTGCGCTACCAAATTTAAATATTCTGGCATTGACAATTATTGAAATGAAGGCTTATAGGAAAGCGCTTAAAATTAAAACTTAACTTGTTAGTTAAAATAAATATAAATCCCTACACAATGTACGTGAAAGTAACAAAAAAAAATAACTTTAAGTACTTTGAAGGATTTCAGTGGTTAGATTTCATTACGACTGAAATTACACAATTACGGAGTTGAACGATTGTTTTGAAGATTATTTCTTTAACAACTTGGAAATGCGAGTATCCTAAGAGCTAGATAACGATATACTATCAAAATACACAACGAATATACAATAGATTTATCTGTAAGTAAACAGCACAAAATATTAGGATTTAAAAGACTCTAGAAAAATTTTAATCTCTTGTTTAAAAGTTTTAACCGGTAAATAAAATGAGATTTGAAAAATTATAAAATTGTTAATTTAGACATATCATTTTTAATTGTTTATTTGTTTTACATGTTTTCATATCAGAAAAATGACGCTTACTTTTCATTCCCTTTAAGCCGTTCTCGTGCGAGGATTTATTAACTGCTTGTATTATTTTAAGTACACTGAAGTGCCACTGAATTAGGGATAGACATGGCTATGCAAATTTTATAGCGCTGCACGGCACCTGTGCTCACGTGACGAAGTTGCGGTAAATGCACACACAGCTAGTACTATGGTTGTTGTTAATCAGTCTTTCAAGTTCCACTATGGGTAAAACTTCTAATTTAGACAGCTTCGATCTCGGGCAGATAGTAAGCATTCGACGCATGGGTCATTCAATTTCCAAAAACCCCAGTGGGCTAGGATTTTCAAGGTCGACAGTGTCAAGAGTATACCGAGAATACACGGATGGTGGGAAAAAGAACTAGCTATCGGGCAAATTGCAAAGGACAATTAACCTAGAATAAGCGTGGTTTGAGACGGCTCAGCCGTATTGTAATACATAGTCAACGAAGCCAAACATTAGCGAAATTACCACCCAGCTGAATCAGGGCGACAGTCGTAGCCAAAGAAGGCCCGACTCGTTATTGACTAGCTATCCCTAATTCATTGACACTTCAGTGTAGTTAAATGATATTGACAAAAGTAAAATTTAACCTTAAGTTTTAAATCATGAGAAAAATGTATTTATTTTATTTGTTCATAATAGTTCTTTTCAAATTTCAGGAATCTTCCCCTTTTTCCTGGAAGCAGTGAAATCGATCAGTTGTCTAAAATCCACAGCGTTTTGGGTACGCCGAAACCTTCCGTTATCGCCAAACTCAGGCGGCAGTGAGTGTTTTCGGTATTTTTAAAACCCCGCTTTTAAAATTTCTTTAATATACGAACTGAATTCCCATTGCATGAATTCATATTTAAAAGTTTTCTCTTTTCTTGTGACGGTTTTGGATTTCTCTTCTGAAATTTAGCGAAAGTATTTCGATGCAAGTAATATTTTATTCTAATATTTAAGGGTTACAGGCGAAAACATCGCGGAAAAACACCGCGGAAGAAAACGTCGCGGAGAAAACAACGCAAGGCGAAACGTCGTGCTGCAAAACATCGTGGTGGTACAAAACATCGTCGTCGAAAATAAAGCGGTTCAAAAACTTCGCAGTTTAAAAACATCGTCATCGAAAATATTGCGTTAAAAAATAAAGTATCTACAAATCATCGCATGACGATAACATCACAGACGTGCTTTTTTCAGGCTTTAATAACTCTAAATGGATATTCCCATAATGATTTGTGAGCGCAAGATGGAAAGAAGGATAATTTTTACTTTCATATTTTTTATTAACTAAAAAACTTTTGCTGAGAAAATAAGAAGGAAATTTAAGCATAGAAAATTAATGCAACTTAGCACTTAATAGAATTTTAAACCGACATAGTTAACTAACAAAGGTTACTAATAAATCATTTTTATAAAGTTTTTACTGGTAATTTTTCATGAAAAGTATAATCTATAAGTTGCATTTAATTTTCTATGCTTAAGTTTCCTTTTTAATTTTTCAGCAAAAATTTATTAGTTAATAAAAAATGTGAAAGTAAAAATTATCCTTCTTTACATCTTGCGCTCACAAATCATTATGGGAATATCCATTTACAATTATTAAAACCTGAAAAAGCATGTTTGCGATGTTATCGTCATACGATGATTTGTAGATACTTTATTTTTACCACGATATCTTCGACGACGATGTTTTTAAACTGCGAAGTTTTTGAACCGCTTTATTTTCGACGTACCACGATGTTTTACAACTGCGGTGTTTTCTCTTTGCGATGTTTTCTCCCACGATGTTTTCGCCTTGCGTTGTTTTCTCCGCGACGTTTTCTTCCGCGATGTTTTTGCCGCGATGTTATCGGCGGACACCTATTTAAGGTAACTGCAAAATGCCTCTAGATTTTTCCATTTTTTTCAAGAATTTTTTAAGAGTGCGCTAATTTAGTTTTCATGCTATAGAGATGGTTAGTTTTATTTTCTGAGCCAAAACACACACCTTTACCTCGATTTTAACCACGGATCTACAAACTGTCAGCTGAAGAGTTAATTATTTACACCACCAGATCTCGAACAGGAAATGCGAAGAAAATTTGTTATAGTGTTTAATCTGTACATGAATGCTATTCATATGGAAGTCACCAACGGCGGAGCGGTGTATCGGCTGAACACTGGTAGTTAGACTCAGCTTCAAATATTGGTGAACGGACTGGCTGTGTGTAAACTTTCGTAGTTTTTTGCGTGGGTTACGTAAATAAGGATCAATTTCCTTCTCCTCGACATATCTGTACCTTTAATCAGATAGTCCTCGAGTGAATTCCATAAGTTCAATAATCTAATCACATGCAATTCCCAGTTTTCCTCGCATCTGGGAAAGAAAGCACTGAGTTCCTCCCTCCAGATAAAAGTGTTTTCTCCATCGAATTATTAGAAATACGTTTAAACGGTTCTACAGTACTCTAAAATGCCACATCTACTAGAAAGTAAAGATGGTTAGAAGACATATTGTCCAGTCTACGTTTTGACTTTAGGGATCACTAAGTGAAGGTGTAAAATAAAAACTTATTTATTAGCACTTCAATTTAACAGCTACACAAAACGTGGAAAATATAATAGAAACACAAATGTGATAATTCGAGAACTAACGTCCGAGTCAAACTGAACGGCGAAAACATATTAATTTCGACCTAATAAACCTTATCTAGGAATTAAATATTCCTGAAGCAAAACCATTTTGACGAAGTTTAAGCTAAGGAAGTTTATAGTCAGTCAGCAGAGAAGAAAAGCTAAATAACAGTCAGCAAACTACAGTGGTGGCCAAAATTGTGGACACTTTTGGAAATTTTTATGTTTTTGAAATTTGTATGCTCATAGAAAACGTTGCGTTTCACAAAATGCAAACTTGTATATATTATTTTAAAGATAATTTATTACTGAATTCAATACAAAATACAAAATTCAATTATTTGCAATACAAAAAAATTAAACGATAATAGTTATCGATATACATTAGATAGTGATGATGATTGCAGTGAGTTATCAGTACTATAAGGTACCCTTTATTTTTGATTACAGCTCACATCGACGTTTCATTGGGCTGACAAGAGTTTAAGCTCTTCTTTCGTTATTCATGATGCCAGGAAACAATTATAGCCTCAATTAGTTCCCATGATTTGCTGGTGCCTCATTCGGACAAGAGTTTCAACGGTTGCCACAAATTTTCGATAGGATTGAGGTCAGGACTGTTTCCTGGCCATGACAACAATTTAATGCTCTTTGTACGAAACCACTCGTATTTCGATATTTTGGCCGTGTGGCAAGAAGCAGAATCCTGCTGAAAAATAAACGAAGCATTGTTGGGAAAAAGATCTCTGATGGAAGGTAGAAGTTTTGGTTCTAGAATAGCGTCAATGTATTTTTTGGTATTCAGTGTCCCATCGATGACATGAAGGCGACCAATACTATACGTAACATTTTCTATAAGCATAAAAAGTTCAAAAACATAAAAATTTCCAAAAGTGTCCACAATTTTGGCCACCACTGTATGTACTCAGCCCGTTCGCCTGGATCGTACCCGTCTCAAAATACCAGTATTTAGAGAGTTTAATCCCTGAACCACTGGTGGGGAGAACATAGAGTAATTCGAATATTTAAAGTAAAATATAGAAAATTATAAGTCTGATGGATACTGAACGATTTGAAACGAATCTTATTTTTGTTACCTTTACTTCTTTTAGGCTACTGATTTAAATTTTGTGTTTTTGGTGTAACTGAATTTTGCATGAGAAACAAAGAATGAAGTCGCAAAGATTATCCAAAAAAGACTAAGAATGAATTTACTATCGAAGATTTATTTCCTTTACTTCTTAATTATTTAATTAATTCTCTGTTGCACGGGGTATACGACAGCGAAATAAATCTTCGAAAAGAGCTCGTTGTGCTGTCGGCTTGGGCGGGGAAGGGAATTTGAAGTAAATCTTTAATGTGTTTCGTAGGATGAAACATAAATATACGAAGTTCTCTTTCGTGTAAAGAAAATGGAATCTATTTGTGTGCAGCTATGAAGCTTTGAGTTTGTTTGCAGAAAATCGCTCAAAAATTATGAAAAGCTGTAACAAGCATATGATGAAGATGTTTTACCACAGTCAAGAGCATTTCGGTAATTACAATAATTTATCGAAGCCCGTATCCCACTTTCATAACAAAGTGGTTACAGTAATCCTGTTAGCACAATGAACGATGTAATGATAAACACAGCCGCTGTTCAGAAACTGTTCACTGTTCCAGTAGAACATTTTTCGAGAAGAGACAGAACAACTGTAAATGAACAGTTTAAGATTTCTGGTGATAGCTCGTTCACCGTTCTTCATCGGATCATCTGCAGAACTGAAACGCATGTGAACGAGATGGCTGCTAAGATTCTTAACTCCTCAAGTTTAGTTGTACGTGCTGCTGTAAGACTAGCTGTTCGTGGGAGCTTTGGGTTCTCGTATTGGAGCATGATGAAGCTTCCTCATTATTGCTGATGAAAACTGGTACTAAAAGCCACTACGACTCTAAAAGTAAAAGGCAAGCTGAGAATGAAAATCGCCAAGTTCTTCCACTTTAAAGAAGACCAAAGTTATAATGACAACACGAAAGGTAATGAGTTTTTTCCTGTAACTCCTATGGAATGGTTTGCAGTGCAATGTTTGAGCATTCGTTTGTCATCGACAAATACTGCGTAACAGTTTATGAATATGTTTAACAAAAACAACCGGAGCCCCACATACATGGCTAATATGAAATATGGCTCATATGAAATGACCGCTGTTCTAGATATTATAAATTGTAATTAAAATTATTTGTGCAAAGGTGTCTGTTAATTCAAATTGAATTACCCAGGGCACGCGGCGAGAACTCCCCTTTGCTTACTGCCCCATTGGGTTTCCCCCTTCTACTTGCTTAATTTCTTAAAGAAGAGTGCAATGAAAGAAACCACTGGCGGTACATTTCTTAAAAGCCACCGTTAGCTCAATCAATAAAGGTGATTTAAATAATGAAATGTTAATTCACATGTCAAAGATCTCTTTGTACACAACATTTCTTGTGTAGATCTTTCCATCATTTTTAAGCTCGCCTTGCAGAGGACCATCCATTATTTTTAATTTTACGTCCGTTCTTTCACGAACTCTTGAACAGGCAACATAAAGCTGACCGTGTCCAAATGCAGGCTCAGGTAAAAAAATGCCAGCACACTTAAGCGTTTGGCCCTGAGACTTATTGAAGCAAAGGCAAGTTTTACAGGAAATTGTCTACATCTGAATTGAAACGGCAACCCTGTGCCGTGGCAACTTCACCCTATTGGCTAGTACAGTTACGCAAGCAACCAATAAACTATCGGCGACAAACAGACACTTAAGCCGCATTTGTATATGGGATGAAGTAACACCATCTCCTCCGAAACGGCTGGCTTCCGGGCCTAGCGAAGCACACCGTTGGATTGCGCAGGTCTGTGGCACGCCATTTTGACTATTCGCGTCTTGTTGGGACTTTAATTAGCCGAGATATTAATTAAAAACTAATTTTCCCCTACGTTTATTTTTCTCGAATATTTACGGAACGGCGCCGAGTTGAAATTCGAGACGTATATCCTTGGATTTCAAAAAATTCTCCGAATCCATCGATACCATTCTCATCTTCGTACGACTTTAATCGGCCGAGATATTAATAAAACTGCGGAAACGTTAATTTCCGCGCTCATTCTTCCGAATGGCAACAATAAACTATCGGCGACACACACTTTAGCCGCTTATATATATAAAGATAAATATAAATCCCTAAAACATATTAATTAAATTAAACCTTACGTAACAATAACTGATAATGCATCTCCGGTAGGTATAACTGCTCACGTAATCTAGTCAAAGCTAACAAATATTGATCACGCTGGAGCGGCGAATGTTCTAGGCATTACAGAAACGACCGCTATGTGTACAGGTTAACTTAAGTATGGATGTAAACACTTCGTTTATAACATGTATAGTACAAATATGTACAGACATTTATATGCAGATGTTATAATATTGTGTTTCAGCAAGCGACTGAATGGTGTAGACTTCAGCTTCCAACCTCACACAGGAATCGGCTTAGCCATTTTGACACCTGGCGCTTCGCAGGAAGCTCTGCAGTTACTGTCCAGTCTTTGCGCTTATGACGAGGACGACAGACCTTCCGCCCGCCAAGCTCTCAACAGCCAGTACTTCACAGATCTAAGGTGAGTAAATTAGTAAACTTTGTTTAAAATAAAAATTAATGTTCTTGTGAAATTATCACTATAGAAAAACCTGACAGTTTTAATGGTATGCACTTAACAAATTAATTTCTGACTAATATCACCAACGGTCCTTATAAGAAAAGAACACTATCTTGGTCTCACTGACTTTGTCAAATTCTTCATAACGAAAGAGGATGAAAACGAATAGATTTGTGAAGGGACAGCTAATTTCTCTCAAAATTAAATGAGAAAACTGTTGTTGAATTTCTAAATAAAATTTATGCTTTTCGAATTTTCCTTTTTGGAGCAAACACTGATGAAATTCTATTTAGTTAACTTTTAAAACTATTAAGCAGACATTTTCAGTTAGAATTCAATTGCCAGACGATTTAATTTTTTTATGTTGAGTTATTTTTAAATAAAATTCATTTGCAAAAATATATCTTAAGAGAAAAATATAAAAATTAAAGACTACAGGTACAGGTAAGATGCTAGACCAACGCCTTCGTAGTACCGCAGGCAATTGAGATATTGCTGAATCTAGCTAACTGTTAAGCTTTTCCCCCAAGTCTGAGGAAAACACCCCGGAAGGCGGTCCGACGTTCTCTTATCTCTCTTCCCTACCAACCTCTCGAAAGGACTTTCGGCTCGCCGTGTATTTTAAGTGCCCCCATGTCGCAATAACACTATACGCGTACAGACAACCATGACTTCTCCTTTTCGTAAGAACAGAATTTGTATAAATATTAAATTGAAGCACTAAATTGTGACAGTGAAGTTAAGCACTAAATTGTGACACTAATTAATTGTATTATTAATCTAATGTGAGTATAATATTAAATTGAAGCACTAAACTGTGACAGTGAACTTTCGGCTCGCCGTATATTTTAAGTGCCCCCATGCCGCATGAACACTATACGCGTACAAACACCCATGACTTCTCCGGGATTGCCATCGGTGCAGTTAGTGTCACTAACCACTATGCGGGCTGGGCGGCATTGAGCAAAGCATCTTGACATGAAATACAGGGAAGAAATTGTTCATGAAATCTTAGGCAATTGAGGCATCCAAAAGTCTAAATGTTTGATCAAAACTCCTTTTTAAGACGGAAAGTCAATAGTTCTTAGAGGTTCCGTCCATCAGCATTGCATTTTGGAGTTTGTGGTTTACAGGAAAAGTTCCTTTGAGAAAGTTCTTTTGAAATTACAGAGTTTAAATTGGACCCATTTGCACTTTTCGTGTTCATATCCAGTCCGAGTCTCGGATCTTGAACCTAGTACGTCTACTCTTTATGGCGTATTTTCTACCCGTCATAGTTCATATTTATTCAACATATTATGACATCAACAAACAAGCTCAAGAAGAACTTACCAGTGCTCATTGCTCTTCTTGTTCCGCATTAATAAAACTCTAGCCTTCAACCGACAAAAAGTAGTTCTTGAATGGTACCCTACAGCTACTTTTATGCTGTTAGATATATCCTAACACATACTCCTCGCTTGAACATGATAGTAAGATCATCTAACACTTTCATTTAGAATACTGAAATATGTTACATGAATTTCATCAAAATGGCTATGCAAAGTCTTTTATAATTTTCATCTTAGAAGCTTGAAATAGATTAGAAGCTTGAAGTAACGTAGAACATGAAATAGCTCCAAGTTAGTCGAACGTGAAAGTAAACGAATATGATTTTACATTGTTGTCTTACATCTTAAGTTTACTTAAACTGATTTTATATGATTTGATTTGATGATTTGATTCTTGTAGATATTGATTTTTCATGGCTTACGGTATGACTATATACTGTGGGTAAAAAAAGTATTTGCACACCTACATTTTTGTTTGCAATTCATAAAAAGAAGCATTGGGAAATAAAAAAATTGTATTGCCAAATCAGAATAAATTTAATCACCCAAAACAAACAGAAAAATTACAATATATAAATAACAATGCTTTTTGTAACAAAATTAAAATATCTCGTATCAAAAAAGTTTTGCACACCTGCATGAATACAAAAGAAATAAATATATAAGCAAATTTCAAATAACTAATATTTAGTATGCATTCCTTTAGCATCTATTACTGCTTGTAATCTTGCTGGCATTGATTAATTAAATTTTCTGTAACAGTAGGGTCAATATTCGACCATTCTTCACTAAGGGCTTGTTTAAGGGTAGATTTGCTTGAAATCTTCCTTTTTACTTATTTTTAAATTCCAAAGACTTCCACAAATTTTCCAAAGGATTTAAGTCTGGTGATTGGGGTGGAGTGGCAAGTTTTCTGGGTTACATTATAAAGCAACGACATACGTGTTATACCGGCAGGTGTGCTTGGGATCGCTTGTCTTGCTGAAAATAGTACGAATTACAGATACCCAATTTTATTGCACTTTGTGGCAAGTTATCTCGCAACAACATCAATATAGGTTCGAGCTGTCATATTCCCATCAATGAAATACAAATTACCAACTTCTTTGCTAGCCATGCACCCCCAAATCATACCAGAACCTCCTCCATGTTTAACTGTAGGTAACACATTTTTGGTATGAAAAGCAGTACAAGGTTTTCTCCAAACTAATTTCCTGCCATCTGATTTAAAGATATTGAACTTACTCTCGTCGGAGAATATGACATTTTTCCAGAAATCAATTGGCATATTGATATATTCCTTAGCGAATTCAAGTCTCTTCAGTCTATTTCGTTCAGTTATGAGAGGTTTTTTCCTTGGAGATCTCCCATAAATGTGTGCATCGTGCAGGACATTTCGAACACTTTGGGCACAGATTTGAGCTCCAGATGTTGAAGCGATATCATTGGCTAAAGTAATTGCACTAACAAATGGCTTTTTCGATGCTTCTCTTATGATTTTTCGCTTTATTCGCAGTGAAAGTTTCTTTGGGCGTCCAGAGCGCAAGTTATTTGATGTAGATCCTCTTTCTTTATGACGCTTTATAATATGCCGAACAGTAGAGAAGCAAACATTTACTTTTTTACCTATTTCTTGATAACTTAGGCCATTTTCACGTAGAGAAACAATTTTTTCTCGCAACGAAATCGGCAATTCAGATTTCTTAGGTGCCATTACAATTTGAAATCGACAATCAACTGATATGATCACCTTCTTTTATAGTCGTCTTACGTATGTTATTTACTGCGGGATGAATGTCAAATAATAGCATAAAAATGCAAATTTGCTAAAGTTGAGTTGAGTGTGCAAATACCTTTTTGACATAAGCTATTTTAATATTGTTGCAAAAAATGTTTTTTTATTAATATTATTGTATTTTTTGTAATTAGTTTAAATGAATAAGCTTATTCTGTTTTTTAAATGCCAATTTTTGTATTTCTTAATGCATTTTCTTATAAATTGTGAACAAAAATGTATGTGTGCAAATACTTTTTGTACCCACTGTATGTGCAGTTTCCTTTCACCAAAATTTGGTGCATTCTCTATGTTGAAACTAAATAACGTTTGCATAATCCGAGTTCAGAAAACAAAACATTTATTTTACATATTTTAAAGAAATAACATTCTGAAACAACATGTTTCATCTACACAATCAATCGACGCTCTCACCAGAGCATTACGCCATCAAACTTGGCACACATCCAAAAGTACAAATCTAAGAATTACAGAAGCGTTGTTGCCACACAAGAAAAGACATATAGTTACAAACTTCACACAATAATAAAACAAAAACACACTTTTGAAAAATAGACAATAATAATAAAAATAGTAATAATAAAATTCTTAACAATATTTTCTCGATTATGCAACATCCTCCCCCCTTTTTGAGTCAGTGGCAAACGACTCAAAAACATATGTTATCCTATTAAAAAGGTCTAGTACATTAGGCTTCTTAACAAGCCGTCCTGACGACGTAAATTTCTGTTTTATATGCTGTACGTCAGTCTGATCGTTTTTCTTATCGTCGTTAACGTTAGGCTCTTCAACTAAATAATTTTCATCTAGTTGTATCTCTAGTGGATAAATACGCTGAACGGGCCTTATGAAAATCCCATTCTGAGTTTTTAGTTTAACTGTTCGAACTTTGCCATCCCGACCAGGAATTTTCTCTATAATTTTACCCAAAGGCCAATACAAGCGTTTTTTGAAATCATCGCCTATTAAGACTATCTCCCCAATTTTAGGCAACCGGGTTACTTTATTTTGTGGTTGTTTCATTATTAATTGCCCCAAATATTCTTTTCGGAAACGGTTCCTTAAATCTTTAAGAAGTTTTGTGCGGTATTTAATTCTTCTCAAAAAAATGCTGAGAGTCAATTTTATCTATATCTGCTACATTCGAAGTACAATTTTCAATTAAAAACATTGACGGAGTTAAAGGGATAGCATCTTCAGAGTTCTCCGAAATATATGTTAAAGGTCGAGAATTAATTACCGACTCACAATCGCAAATTAAGGTTTCCAGTTCTTCATAAGATAAAACCGATTTTCCCAAAGAACGTCTTAAAAGTTCTTTAACCATGCGAACTAGCCGTTCCCACCAACCTCCCCACCAGGAGGCTGTTGGTGGATTGAATTTCCATACTATTCTCTTTATTTTTGCCTCATTCTCTATTATGTCCCAGTTAAGTTTAGACATTTCGTTATACGTTCCTCGGAAGTTAGTCCCATTGTCAGAATAAATGGTTCGTGGTCTGCCACGTCTGGCTATGAATCGTCTTAAAGCCAAAAGAAAAGATTCTGTTGATAACGAAGTCACCAGTTCTAGATGGATTGCCCTGTACACAGCGCATGTGAAGAGTGCCATCCAAACCTTCTTACCGTCTTTCAAAAACAATGGGCCAGCTAAATCTACTCCCAAAATTTCAAAAGCCCTATAATCTCCTACGCGATCTTCAGGAAGAGGAGTCACTTCGCAAGACATCGGTTTCGCTTTATATCGTTGACATATTACACACCCTTTTAACACATTACGCACAGTTTTACGTTGTTTTAGTATCCAGAATCTTTCTCTTAAAATAGATTGAAGC